ATCAAACTTCGTTTTCCTTCGAACACATCGATTGCTAATGTTCTGATTAGAAGTTTGAGTTTTTGTAGTATCTAAGAGTTAGCACTTGGACTGTTTCACTGATATTAGACAACTGGAATTTAGTATTACACTCATTATTGTTTGTCAAGAATATGTTTGCTGAAATTAGATTTACAGTTGTTTTCTTTGAAACTAAATATATGTAGCGTGTTCTCAGATGAAAGTAACAGTGCCTAAAGAAGGATGCATAAAAGACCTATGCAACGTATTAGAAAAACTGACAGGAATTTCAGCAGACAATGTAAGTTTTCAGAATTTTAGAAGCAAACATTTCAAATAATTTAGGTATTTTTATATAAGAAGAACTTTTATAATTAGGCTTGTTTTAAAAGATTGAATAGTCATCAAATTCTTTTGTTGTTTTGTCTTCAGCTCCATGGAAGTTTACAGTATGTGAGCTTTTAACAAAATTTCATAGAAAATTTAGAAGTATAAATTTTTATGTGATTATTATGTAGGTTTATCATATCTAAATCCAAAATAGAGCACCAGTTGAAGTTAAATAGTTTTATGATTTTACTGCCTTTAATGTTTCATGTTAAACATATAATAGAAGTGATGGTTTAGAGTTTATTGGCTGTACTGTGTGTCTGAGGTTCTATGGCTCAAACCCCATTATTACAAAAAAAAATTGCTCATCACAATATCGTGCCACAGGTGTATTATAAAAGTGCCAGTCAAATCTCATTATTCATTCAGTCTACAAGTTAGCAGTGGATGGTGTTGACTATCTACGTTCCCTCTTATCTATGGCTTCAAAATTTTGGATGCAAAATTCAAGAAACGAAGAAACATCTATTTGGGCATGTATAAAACTTAAATGATAAATTTCAGAATATTTGAAAAGTTTAGATGTTGTATAGAAAAAGATTTTAAGTTAATATAATAATCAGGTTATATTGGATGTTCCTATTTCTAATATTTTGATATTTTCAAAGCTTGTGGTGACAGATGTGTATAATCATCGATTCTATAAAGTGTATCAAGGAGATGATGGACTAAATAGCATAATGGAGAAGGACGAAACCTTTGTGTGAGTAGGATGTGGTTTTCTGATTAATTTAACACATAAATAATAATTAAGAGTAATGCAAATAAAAATAACTTTAGTAATCTTGAAACATTATCAGTAATGTTTTACATATATTTTTATAAACAGAATGTGTCTTCATTGAACAGTATATTGTCTTTTTGCATATCTACACCTCTAACTTACTACTTAGGATGGCATTAGAATTCCTCTCCTGTAAAATTGTCTGATGTTTAAGGCATTGACATCTCCCAGAAAGATGTTCACAGGTAGATGTTTCAACTTCTTATGTTTTATTTTGTCAGGAGCTAGAATTTCTTGTTATTAATGATTTTTTTTAGCTTAGTTTCTTTTATTTACCAACTAGTGTAGAGTTAGCAAAACGTTTAGATAGTTCTTAGTTTGACTTATCCAGAAGTCCTTCAGTGAGCCTGTTTAAGTCATACAATTTGCATTTAATAAAGATCTGTGAGGATTAATAGGTCCATATCAGAAAGTATTACATTCTACACACATAAAAATCTGTGAGGATTAATAGGTCCATATCAGAAAGTATTACATTCTACACACATAAAAATCTGTGAGGATTAATAGGTCCATATCAGAAAGTATTACATTCTACACACATAAAAATCTGTGAGGATTAATAGGTCCATATCAGAAAGTATTA